TGATCAATCAATCATTGGTAGACCACCCTTAGAAACCTGAAAGCACTGGACGACCTTTTTGTCCTGGCATGGTTAGGCGTTCGCCCGCGAAACCGAAGGTCCTGTGTCCGGATCCTTCGACGTTCAGGAGTCGTCAATGTAAACTGCTGATGATAAATCCTCTTTCTGAATTCGAAACACTTTGAACCGTTTCAAAAACGCTACTCTTGATAAAAAATTTTTCTATTTCTACTTATTCAGTAATACAGTAAAAACTAAAGACATTCTAATAAAGGCATATATTTTTAACATGCTAATCCATTAAATAGTGTATTGAACTATTATTTTAAAGTTTAAAGGAATTAAATCTTTATTGTTTATTCCATATAACATGTACTCATTTCAGAAGTAGGTAATTCATGACAAGTTATACGTACTTGGCAACCAGAGATGTCTACGTCAAACACAGAGGTACGATGTAGTACAAAAGCAACTGTATAAACAGCAATATCAAATTCTGGAGATGATCCAACAAAAATACTTCCCAATGACTTTTTGTATCTGTTTTCATTCTTGAACGATACAGTAATAAGTTGATCTTGACAAGACTGTAATGCGAATTTAATGCAAAGATTAGTTATACACATTTGAAAATTACACTGTAAGAAAAATGTCTAAATTACGTGAACGTTTTACATTTAGAGCAATATTTATTCCAAACGTTACTTGAATATTTAATTGTAACAATTCAGGCTGCAAATTGTAGTAGGTTACTATATAAACAAATACATATTTTCTTTTTAAAAATTACCATCACTTTACATCAACTTGCCAAATAAAATCGATTTTTGCTAGTTTACGATTTGAATAACACGACAGTTAACATTCCACAATATATTATGACCTTGTTAATGATAACCTATTAAATAATAATTATTATTCTATGGTTAACTATGAATCGATAACTTTCTTCATAATACTTCCATTCAAGAAGTATAATTTTGTTAATTGTTGGGGCCGTTAGCTACCTAGAACTCACTTGATAAAGGTCCTAATTTTGGATTTTATGTTTTAGCGCATGGGCTTATCAGTTGAGCTTGAGATAACATTTTCCATCCAGAAGATCTTGACTGACATTTTTCAGGGGTGGACATTCTACCAGTAGGATGTCTTATTGACCTAGAATATGCCAATGAGATAGTTCTATTTGGTGAAGACGCTGACAAAATGCAGAGTCTTCTGACTACCCTAAGCAACAATGCAAACATGTTCAGGATGCGGTTCTCCCCGTCGAAATGCGAAATGTTGCTTCAAGATTGGGTTGCATCGGCACTTGAACTAGTGATAGGGAGTGAAGTAGTCTAGTGTGTAGACCGCTTCACTTATCTGAGGAGTCTCATCAGTGCCGATGGCCTGGTGACTGACGAAATCTCAGCACGGATACAGAAGGCTCGATTGGCTTTTGCCAACCTGCGTCATTTATGGCTCAGGCGAGATACCCGCTTTCTAACCAAAGGACGAGTGTACTGCGCAGCAGTTCTCTCTGTCCTACTATACGGACACGAAACAAGGCCCACAAGAGTAGAATATATTCATAGGTTAACAGTATTTGATCAAACATGTCTCCGAAGCATTGCTCGTGTATCGTGAGACACCCGAGTGAGCAACGCTGTTATTAGGAATCGGGTGCTAGATAAGAATGGCAAATCAATGGATGAAGTACTGAAACTTCACCAGTTGTGGTGGTTGGGACATGTGTTACGTATGCCTAACCACCGACTGCCTCGACGAGCTATGTTTTGTGGTGTTTGAATAGGTTGGAAGAAAGGTAGGGGCGGCCAAACCAAAACATGGCAGAAATCCATGAAGTCATTGACGAGTGGACTTAGACATGTCGGTAATTGTCGACTACCTGGTTGGGGTCCGCGAGATGATAATAATCGATGGTTAGAGACCTTGAATGATATCACTCATAATCGTTTGCAATGGCGCAAGTGCATCCACTCTATGTGTTCTTTCAAATCCCAATCACCTAACCTACGTTTGTTTTTCTAAACTTACCTCATCGAATTATACTTCTTCACTAATATCTTGGAACCCTAATCTCCTCTTTTACCAGTAGTACTTCCACTATCTCTACCACTATGGGATTTGAATTGACAATTGCGTCTCTGTGCTAATGTGGTATGGCAACCTGAACTGATGTACTTACGTAAGAAGTTCTACGTTGCAGCTAACTGACTGACTGACTTTCATTGTTGATGGATTATTTTAGTACGCTACTTTTGTCGCTCTCCCAAGGACGTTTCTATGATATATAAATAACTCGATTTCTGGGTGCTTGTAGAATGTAATTTCTACGCCATATCAAGACTTCTTCCTCTACTTAGTGGGGCCTTGACACTCTCGAATTTGAGTAGTCTATCATGTCACTGGATCATTTATCTTTGCTCTCGTTTACCGACTAAGGTGAACTCATAATAGTTTCAAGCATATCATCTGACAAGTATAACATTTATACAGTTCCTAATATTATCCTTCACTAATCAACCATAAATACTGCCTTATGAATTCATTTCATTATTTTCGGAAGTTTTATAACAGACAATTTTTAATGTTATATAACACTCTAAGGGTGTTTTTTGATAAAGTATTTGATATTGTTGATATTGTTAATAAATAGATCCTACTCGAAAGTTAGGATCAGTGTAAGCATGCATTACACAGTAGCCTTACCGACCTACCAGTAAATACTTATAGTATACTCATGTAAACACAATCATAGTCCTATTATACTTTATCATAAAATAAAAGATTTATTCCTTATTCAATAATTACAAGCACATTATAATTCCGAAATGAACTAGCTAATTATAGAAAATTCCTTACTCTTTTAGTCCATCCAAAAAAGTTTAATTGATTTTCCTTTTCTTTCCTATAAAATTGAATCCAATTATGTAATCCAAGCACATTGGATTTTTCATATTCACCAACAAATACATGTTCAAATGCAGAAGAGTCTTGTCGACTTGATCCCATTTCGTTGATTGAATATCTCCGTTTGTTTCTTTTTTGTTTTCTTTTGTTGCATATTTTTTATGAAGGACATCATCGTTATTCAAAGTATTTTCAGGGGGAAAAAATGTAAAGGCAGTTCTAAATTATCAAAACTGATTTTCAATATCAATTTATTATACATTAAACATTAATCAATCATTGTTAGACCACCATTAAAAACCTGGAAGCACTGAACGGTCGTTTCGTCCTGGTATGATTTCAAATGTGTAAAAACACAAATCTCCAAAACCACCCGCAATCGAATGGGCAGGCGGAAAGGTTTGTGGATACGTTTAAAAGAGCACTGCTTAAGTCAAAAGGGGAGGGGACGCCAGCCGGAACGTTACAAAATTTCTTGTACGTCTATCGGACAACACCAAATGAATTGTTACCGGAGCAAAAGTCCCCAGCTGAAATCCTGATGGGAAGAAGATTGAAAACGATTCACAGCCTGATGCATCCGACCAATGCACCCTCATCAGTAGAGACAAAGCAGCAAAGACAATCCGCTTACGAAGTAGGATGCCCTGTGTTTGCCCGCGACTACAGAACGAACCATGGTCCTTGGGTAGAAGCGAGAGTGGTCAGAAGGGTTGGTCGAGTTATGTACGAAGTAGAGGTAGGAGGTGATAAATGGTCACGTCATCGGAATCAGATACGCAGACGGCTAGCCCCAGATCGCCCATCAAGAGCAGAAAGCCTTCCCCTTGACATCTTGCTTGATACTTTCAACCTACCGATAGCCCCGCCACGAGAAGAAACTCAGCAGCAAGCTGTTCTTCGTTCCCGAAGGTATCCACTCAGACAGCGGCGAACAATAGTCAAGATGCAAGTCAACCACAGGAGAACACGCTATTAAAAAGGGGAGGAGTGTTGGGGATGTTAGATCCCCAAAATTCGCTTGATAATGCCGTATTTCGGTTTTCACGTTCGCCAGCAGGGGCCGATCAAATGACCTTGAGATTTCAATTCCCACCAGGAAAATCAATGGCTGTGATTGGCTGCTGTGTATTTTAGTATGCTATTTTCTTAACTGTCTCAAGGACGTTGTTATGTTGTATAAATAAACGAGAGTTGTATGCTTGATTGGACTGGGATTGCTGGGTGCTTGTAGAATATACTTCTACGCCTACAAAGTCTTCTATTTCGATTCTGGGATTCAGGGTAGCCTTCCTGGAAGCTGGTAAAAGTCTCGTCCGTGTTTATCGACTAAGGTAAACTCGTAATAGCATCAAGCATACTAAGTGACGAACATATCATCCTGACACGACGAAACGGCTATCCAATGCTTCTAGTGGTACTTCCAATGGTGGTCTAACAACATGATTTCAAGAATGTAATAGTTGATTTGTTGTATTGATATTTTTCCAATCTATCGATGATTATTATTCTACCTTAAATATTCTTGTCAAAAATCATTTGGTATACTTCTCTTCAGGATCAACGATGTGATTAATTTTATGACTAAATAATTATAAGTGAAAATTAAGATGTTTGGATTATATTATTATTCCATGTTATGTATTGGCTTTGAGTGAATTAGTGTATTTCACTAGCATTTTTTCCAACAATCATTGTAAATATTCAAAACCAAAGCTAGCGATTATTAATTTATTCTTGCCACCCGTCATCTTACTATCAACTTTTACCTTTACCTATTATGTATAGTTATGTAGTGTATTTGATTGTGGTCATAGACATACAAGTCACATTAATTAGCTGAATATTTTCATATGAATATTCATGTATATTAGATGAAAGCCTGATGATGATCTAATTGAAAACAATATTATTCCCATACATGTGTTGTTTCATTAATTTATCAAGAAAACAGCATAGAAATTTAGGAAGACTCATTTTTGAGATTACTTCTCACCAGTCCACACAATATCTCTTCTTCTGATCAATCTGACAATATATTTTTGATCAGCGAACATCTTAGAATCAAACTGCACTGAACCTACCTTCTACGTTGATATCGTTTGAACCACAACTCCTTCAACAATGCTCCAAACTGCTTGATATCTCCTGATATTTTTCTTTTTCCAACAAGAAAATCATAAGTCATTCTCATTATATTCGTATTCAGTAATTCTTTGATAAAATCATCTTCCTCAGTCAGTTGTTGTTTTGTGACAATTTCACTGACACCAATTTGAGGATTATAGTTATCCAACAATGCAATGAACTCTGTAGTGTAAATATAATTTTAAATTTCATTTTTGATAACCTAAATTTGTCTAAATATGTTAGTGATTGATTAAGAAACATTAAAGAATAATATAAATCCTAGGATTTAAAGATATTTCATTCTTCGACACCTTAAATTCCATCGACATAACGATCATTAGGCATATATATTTTAGCAAAGATTTATTGAATCTAAATCGTAACAAGATAAATGCTTGTTTTTTGTCTGTCTCATGTCTTTTGACTTAGGTCTGTTATTGATCGCCATGTTACATATCTATTGGAAATTAGTCATAAACAATAAGTGAATTATTTTTTCTAATGAGAACTTTCAGTGTTGTATTTTAGTCAGTAAATTTATCGGATGTCAATGCTCTCCTGGAAATTTGTGGAATAAGGCTAAGCTGATTGCATAAATCATGCAGCATAGTCAGCCAAATATTGATCATATTAACGAAAATGTAGGAAATGATCATTTGGAATTATTCAATCAGTACAATCGCTTATTCATCATGTCTCGATGTCATTCTATTAATTTCCTAAGTAAATTGATTTCTTTGAAATTGTTAAGTGAATAAACAATTTCATCCTTAGCCATCCTCAGTCAACTTTTGTAGTTAAATAAAGGTAATGAATTCTACTCAAAACGAATTAGGTATACTAGTGCTCACGGAATATTTCCTCTACTTGCTAACAGAAACATTCAAGTAGAAATTTCAGTCAACCTGTAAGTGAATTGAGAAATTTTTGAATGCATTTTACGTGATGATCGATTTTTCTACAAATCCAAAGACAAACAAATAGGTTTCAGACAGATTTTAGCTTCTGGCTATTTGTCTAAGTTAATTAAATTAAGCAAGACAAAAACATTCACAATATGAATGTCAGTTTACAGATTTCGAATATCAGTCTTCGTAACATACTTGCAAAAGTGGGTCTCATATTCAGTAAATCTTCATTAACGAATTCAAACAACGGTTTAGATGCTGAATCTACTAAATCCTTTCCTGTATAATGAAAAGAAAAAGATTTTGAAATGACTGAATGTTTGTTTTTAAAATATTTTATAAATATTGGTGTGCGCACAGATATACATAACTTTTCCTCTGAAACATAAGTGAAATCATTTGTAAAAGGTAAACTATATAGATCCATATACTTAGTTGGATGATGATTCTTATAATAGAGTTTTATATTCAAAACAAATGATACACATGTTAGTGAATTGTCTTATCGCGACTTGTGGAGTTGACATGCTAGAATAGAAAACAATTCCCATACACTATCAGTTACTTACTTACTTACTTACTTACATATGTTAACACAATTGGAGCATAGGCCGCCGACCAACATTCTCCAACCTACTCTATCCTAGGTTAGTTCTGATCAATTGTCGTCCATTCTTCTCATGTCTGTCTCCGTTTCTCGGCGTATTGTGTTTTTTGATCCATCTCTTTTCCTTTGGCCATGAGGATTCCAAATTATAGCCTCTTTTGTAACGCAGTTGGGTGCTTTACTCATTGCGTATCCAATCGTCTTCCAGTGCTTCCTCCTAATTTCTTCCTCCACTGAAGGAATCTGTTTTGTTATCTCCCAACACCATCTAATGATTTCTAATTTTCAGTATTCGAAACGTGTTTACTTTTCAACTGGCACACTCAAAAATAAAACTCGTTCATGATTCCCTACACTCTGAACGTTTAAACGATATATATCTATCGAACATCACTTTAGAGTATATCACATTTTCTGCAATGAACATAGTGTCTGTGAAAATTCCTCCATGTATACATTTGTAATTTATCATTATTGAGTCGTTCAGTTGTACATTTTGTCAGTCTGTTCAATTCCATTTGACATGATAATATTTCTATTTTATTAGAGTTTCTATTTCTTCTGCCTCCACTGAGTTTCCATGTTTCTTTCTGAACTGAATTGATGTTACTTGAGCTGATATTTAGTCATGTCGACAGCCATCTTGATTTGTTCCTCTTTCGATTGTGTCGGTAGCTTGCTCTGACTGGAATTATTCATTTTGATTGTGAATTGAAGAGCTCTACCGAAATTGGAAACACTCAGTGTCATAAAACAGCCAAATATTATCTTTCTAACAAAGATTTATTGAATCTAAATCGTAACAAGATAAATGCTTGTTTTTTGTCTGTCTCATGTCTTTTGACTTAGGTCTGTTATTGATCGCCATGTTACATATCTATTGGAAATTAGTCATAAACAATAAGTGAATTATTTTTTCTAATGAGAACTTTCAGTGTTGTATTTTAGTCAGTAAATTTATCGGATGTCAATGCTCTCCTGGAAATTTGTGGAATAAGGCTAAGCTGATTGCATAAATCATGCAGCATAGTCAGCCAAATATTGATCATATTAACGAAAATGTAGGAAATGATCATTTGGAATTATTCAATCAGTACAATCGCTTATTCATCATGTCTCGATGTCATTCTATTAATTTCCTAAGTAAATTGATTTCTTTGAAATTGTTAAGTGAATAAACAATTTCATCCTTAGCCATCCTCAGTCAACTTTTGTAGTTAAATAAAGGTAATGAATTCTACTCAAAACGAATTAGGTATACTAGTGCTCACGGAATATTTCCTCTACTTGCTAACAGAAACATTCAAGTAAAAATTTCAGTCAACCTGTAAGTGAATTGAGAAATTTTTGAATGCATTTTACGTGATGATCGATTTTTCTACAAATCCAAAGACAAACAAATAGGTTTCAGACAGATTTTAGCTTCTGGCTATTTGTCTAAGTTAATTAAATTAAGCAAGACAAAAACATTCACAATATGAATGTCAGTTTACAGATTTCGAATATCAGTCTTCGTAACATACTTGCAGAAGTGGGTCCGGTAGCTCGTTTTCCTGTATAAAGAAAAGAAAAAGATTTTGAAATAAATAAGGATCATTTTCTTATCCCTGACACAATGAATGAAAATATGAAGATACAAAATTGGTGTATTGTTTTGTACCACGCTTTATTGGTGAAATAACTCAGTCTGGAGATTACAACATTTGGTTCAACTTTAAATTTCAATTGATAACAAGTTCAGTCGATCACTCTTGATTCATTATTCGTATTTAGGTGTTGATTAGAAAAAATTCTAGGTAAAATTCTGTAGACAAAAGCTGCTGCATCATTAACATTGATCAATTAAACTATTGCGTTTACTGTAAACTAGAATCTTGTTTGTAATAAAATGAAATATAATCAACATTAAAAAACGATTCACCTTGCAAATTTAATTTGTAATCCTCGCCACTTTTGGCTGCATTTTCATCTGCTTTGTACAGACTAGTGAAAAATGTACTCAATTCCTTGTCCTCTTTGCTAGATTTACTAAGAGCGAATAAACGAGACATTCATGAAACAGATAAAAGTGTAAATCAGTTGAAAATTAATGAGAATAATAATCATAATAATAATCGTTAAAAAGCCTCTCTAGAATTTCGTCAAATCATAATTTACTTTGAACATGTATTTATCTAAGATTATCCGTAAATTTGTAATCATTTTGTAGTTCTTCAGAAACACAAATGATATCATTCAATGTTTCATGTTTATTGAATTTACGATAATTGGTCTCTTTGATAAATTTGGATAATGCAATGTGAAGATGGAAGTTAGCATATTTTTGTGATATATTAGCGTAGTATCTACCACATCTCTGATAATCTCCGTGTTTTCATCGCATTAGCTAAGTTTATTTTACAATTGGAGAAGAATGATCCCGGAATATAAAAAACAATTTACAAACTGGAAAATACTGTTGCATCATTATGAAGAAAATATAACTGTACTACCTAAAGGTTCATTCACACTAATAAAGTCGTGAACAAAACGGTTATTTAGAAAGGAGGCGGATGAAGAGAGCACACGCTAATCAGGACGAATATTAGAAAAAACCAACCAAAAAACAAATCAAATGTTAATAAATGTGGTCAATCAAATGAGGAATTTACAATTCATTGCTAAATTCGAAAAATCACAGTATTTATTGAAAGTAGACTTTTCAGCGTACTTTTAGAAAATCACATTTTTTTCAGTTAGAGGTTTGCGAATTTGTGAAATCATCAATTTATCATTGTTAGAGCACAATTAGAAACCTGGAAGCACTGGACAGCCGTTTCGTCCTCGTATGGGACTCATCAGCAGTGCGCATCCACATTTTTGATTAGTTGTAAGGCAGAAAGGGATAAAGAGTGAATAAGTCGCGCATCACTAAAAATGTTATCTCAACTTTCATTGATTACCCTTATTAGTATTTGCCATTTGAATAGTTGCACTTATTATTGCTCTAGCACTTAATAAGCGTGTTCGCTTTTTCAATCGCCATTTTGATTTTCACCTTGAATACCTCACATAAGTATTCTAATCAGTAAATCTCCAACACTTTACTTCAGTCCTCGAATAACACAATTTTGTATTAAAAATCTCCTTATATAACTGAGTTTTTTCACGAACAGATCTTTGTAGAGTGAGTAAGCTGTAAATCTGTAACCATTTGATTGATCACTAGTCCATACCATGTGTTACATTGTGTAGAAACGTCCAAGAACGAATTCTGAGGTTTATGGAAGCCTCAGTTATCCGTATATTAAATCCTCCCTTATGTGTACAGAAACAGTTTATCATTACCTTGAATTTTCCCTGGTAATCTTTAGACGATTTTATGACCTAGGTTAATTTCCAGCAACTACCAGTACCACACAAGCGTGAAATTGTTATAAATCAGTGATATCAGTATGAATACTGCCAATTATAAATGTAAGTACTAACATGACATGTTAGGTAATAACTGCAATAAAGACACTTTGAAAATTCTAATAAACATTATTTATACATCGTAACAATTAAAATTCCATTATCATAACATTTATGGAGAACATAATCTTTATTGTTCACAATGTATGAATTATCTATCAATTAAATAAATGTATTAATAGACATTAACAATGAGACATGAACCAGTTTTTGAGAAACGAAACAATCGATCGATTCCGACAATATTCTCTAATCTATAGTTCAATTATATTTAAAATAGAACACAACACTTCTCTATCCACACTGAGGTTTGGATTGAGGAATAACTGTATAGATAGTTTAGATATACGCTGTTGCCCAGTTGAAATCAAATCAAGTGATTTGGGTAAATGACGATTCTAATAATCATCATGAATATAAATATATATCATTACCTAAAAAAATATTACCACTCAGTTATTCCATTAACAATTGTTCAATTATTCAAATAAATGATATCCTATCCCTACAAGATAGATCAGATTGGTTCGAAAGATAATATTTGGCTGTTTTATGACACAGAGTGTTTCCTATTCTAGAAGAGTGCTTCAATTCACAATCAGAATGAACATTTACAATCAGAGCAAGCAACCGACACAATCAAAATGGTTGTCGCCGTGACTGAGTATCATCTTAAACAACATAATGTGATTGAGGAGGAAACATGGAAACTCAGCGAAGACATAGAAATTGAAACTATATTATGATACTAATATTATCGTCTCAAATGGAATTGAACAGACTGACAAAATGTACAACTGAATGAATCAATCAAGACAAATTACAAATGTATACATGGAGGGATTTTCACAAACAAAGTCTTCGGAAATGGATCATACAACAAGCATAAAAATAAAACATGGTGGAATATTCTTTTGTGTATGTTTCCATTCATTTAGTAATATTGATTTATCGGTATTTCTTTCCCAACACCGTTTGGTAATCATTTTGTACACAGGCTAAACACTAGAACAATTTGTGCTAATTTTAGCTTTTTGTCATCCAAAAGGCATCGCTCATACAACATTCCTATCTAACATGTTATCTAGTTAAGATTGATGAAAGAATTTCTTTTTTTCCTCTGGAATCCCACGCTTTTCATATCTGTTTTCTACCGTTTGAATATAGACTTAAGGATAATTATTTTAGAGAAATAACAACATTTGAACAGAATGTTTGATAATAAGACCGAAGTTGTTCTTATTTATTTTTTAGAAATTTACAACCATATATAATTGGTTTTTATTTGTGGTCTATTGAAGTATGCTCAAAAATAAATGCACATTTTCTCAATTAAACAAAAATGCAGTTGAGGACAAGTAAGATAACACAATGAGTAAAAACTTTCCTAATAATTTGCCAGTCAAAATAGGTGAACTATTTGTATTTTCTCATTTTTAAGTTTAATCTCTTTAGTTATCGTTATATACGTATAGAAATGAAACAATTAGATAGATAATACAACAAACTCTTAGCACATAAATAAAAAGTAATATCTTTCTAAAACATTCTAGAATGAATCGGTGAATTTAGTCAATACATACTTCCAACATATTGACTGATTCGTTCAATATTGAAATTTCAGTGTGATAAGGTCGGCAAAATATCAATGACTTAAAAATCATATTAATAAATAATACCTGAAAACTACTACAAAGCAGTATTCAAATATTTAAATGATCATCATATTTAACAACAGAGATCTCAAGTGAAATTGTAATTCAGCCTATCAAAGAAATCATGGTTTAATTCGAAATGATCAGAGTAACACAATGTCAAGTGTTTTCATGATGAATAATTGTTCATACGTATTATTCTTGCAACTCTAGAAAGCTCAAAAGATTCATAAAGAAAGTAAAAATAAAGCACGGTGATCTCATTGTCAAAAGTTTTACCATTCAATTTAAGTTTTTGAAGTCAATAAAACAAATAATTTATATGGCATCAATAAAATTGAATACATCACTTACTAACATGTTACAAATTGTAAAACAATGAAGTACACAAAAATACTGAAAACGAAAGTACTATTGATTCCACAAATCTTCATTATTTTCAAATTATTGAATATTTTAATTGTGTTTGGTATTTATATGTTTTATGTAATAAGATACTTCCGGTGACATTCTATCTTATTATGCAGTTAATAACTTCATTGTATAACATGATGTCAGTGTGTTTTTTTTTGTTTTACATGTGTATGAGTGTGTGAATAGAAATATTAGGGCAACAATATTATAAAAACAACTTCTATGCTAAATAAATTTTATCATGATTAAATTGGAAATGATTTAATCATAGTCTACTGATTTGATTGATTTACTGGTATGATTTTTATTTTGATATATAAAAATACTAGTTTATTGTCAATCTCATTATCTGTTATTAGCATTTTTATTGTATTTCTAATTTCCTCCCCTTGTATATGTTAATTTATTTGTGTACTACTTGTTCTACATACATATGTCTTCAGTTGACGACATAAATCTTCCATCAGTGGCGTCCATGAGGTCCTTCAATGATTCTATTTGCCCGTTTAGGCTCACTGACCCACAACTTTGGTTTATTAGACTTGAAAGTTACTTTACCGTTAACCGTGTTAGCTTACAACGAGACGAATTCGGCCATGTATGTGCATTGCATCCAGACGAAGTAGCAGAAAATGTACGAGAGGTCCTAACTAAACCGGATACTGCAAAGCCATATGACGTGTTGAAACAGACCGTAATGAAATCTGTCTAATTGACCGACATACAAGCAAACGAACAGCTTCTCAACAAAGTGCGAATAGGTGACTGGAGTCCATCACAGTTGAAGAACTGTACGACAAGCCTAATACGGGACAGAATGATAGACAGAAGCGTATTTCATCAGTTATGGCTTCGTTGACTCCCTTCACATATGCAGCAGATCCTCATAGTTGGGGAGAGCGACTCCGACATAGATCATATGGCAGAAATAGCCGATAGAATTTATGCAAGTACGAGAACATCAAGTCCACAGGTGCATCACGCATCAGCAAATTTTGAAATCGAAGAGTTGAAAAAGTGCTTAGTATTTTACACCAAAAGCTGATGAGCATGATTCGGAACGACAGACAGCAAAGATAGCCACGAATCAAATCGAGTGACAAAAGCCAATCAAGCTCAATGGAATGCTCAGCTCGCACGATTTGTTGGTATCACCAGACGCTCAGCAACATAACTCAGAAATGTAGACCACCATGACCAACAATCGTTTCATGTTGATTTTCGCTATACTCATTTACTACTTTCTAATACAGACAGTAGTTCATATATTAAGTGTAAAATTATTCGCGTGAAAATTGATTATCGATAGTATGGAGCTGTGAAAATAGTCGAGTTCTATTTAGTTTACGAAATACGGTGATTTGAGAAAGTGATCAGCTTATCGATAGTCTGACAATCGATCCTCTCCTCATTTCATACATCATCACGAACATGATTGACGTGAAAATCATGAAAACATGTGTGTCGTAATGACGATTTATTACCCGTCGACCACTGGGCATCATACTTATTGGTAGCCCACTCCTGTGTAGACGTTTTTATTCACACATGGTAAACCAGTTTATCGATACGAGAATATTCACATGTCAATATCCTATGAACACAAAATGTTGCTTGATCGGCTAATCAATGGAACATGTTTCGTTATAGGGTCGTGACCAGTGGAGTTGAAACGTGTTCGCATGTGAAGCACTCTTCACACAGGATTATCGATGAGGTTGCACAAAACCGTGCATTCATCCATTGATATTTACCTGAAATGTGAACACTGTCAACTTTCAATTATCAATCACTTGAGATCCTTGCATTTTCTGTGAAATATTATCTAGATAATTGTGTTTCGGCAGAAAGAAATCTGCACCTCCACTTCTCAACTTATCACACTTTCAAAATCTCATTAACACAGTTGCATTTTCTGCGAATACACAGATACAATTGATCGCATTCATCTTCCAAAATGTTTACAGTCTTGCGCTTGGTAATAAATGCTTATGGGAACGAGTATAATTTCAAGTTCAGATATTATATATTATATGTACCGCTACAATTTTCACCATTGATCAGTCTACTTGTAGAAAATATAACGTCATTACAATCGTGGTTACTATTAAATGATAGAGTGTTCCGTATAAATTCATGAGCCAAGTAATATATCGAAAGATCATAGTGCATTATGATTGTGTGATTTGATGAGGCTTTCTAAAAATATTCTACATTATTCTACAAAAAATATTCACATTTATTATTTTTTGTACATTAATCGCCGGATAACAATGTCTGAACTGAAGTCGAAAATTTATCTTATTTTGATGAATTTGAATAAAATTATTTTTTATACTGAATAATTTACTTGTAAAATATTCAAAACATGTTCTCGTACTAATCAATTTTAATCGAATGTTGTTAAAATGTTTGATTTAGCGCTATAATAAACAAAATGATACTGTTCATTATTGAAATCATGAATTGATCAATGTTCGATCACGTTTATAATCCAGGGAGCATTGGACAGCCGTTTCGTGCGAATAATGCTATTAATTGGTTGTGTAATTTTGTAAATCATCTTAATTTTGTGGCAAGTTAAGCGAAAATTCGGGATAGAAAATGTGAAATGTAGCAGCAGCAGCAGCAGCAGCAGCATCAGTTCATGAAACTATTGATCATTGAACTGAGCTTGTTTGTATATACCGACTACTTGATTATGATGATTAACTATAGTTGTTAAATGGTGTAGTTCACTGGTGGATAAGTCTATCCCTTGTCAAATTATTTGTTTTTGATCTTGAGTCAAATAATTTTGTTCCTCATTCATATTTCGAATTATGTTTAGTATTTATTTATTTTTCCATCATGAATACTACTACCATTATTCTACCTTGTTTCGTCATTCATTTCATTTCACCTTTCTGAATTGGTATAATGTTGTTAAATTCGACTGATATATACATATCTGTGCTAAATGCTACAAAAACTCGAGTATTATCTGTCTACATAAATATATTACACAGTGTCATAACATCTATATTGCCTTATGATATGATTCATCGTATTTTTAACTATCATTAATTTATCACTAAACAGTAAATCTGATACGGCACAAACAGAATTTACAAATATTTGTTCATTGAGTTGTAAATGTCTTTGAATGGTAGTAACAATGAAATTGAACCTTGCTTTCATTCAATTTGAACTTATCACTCATAACACACTCAGCGTAATACAGATTGATATTTTGTGTCTAACGGTGATTTGAATCACAGTTTTAAGGTATGCAATCAGCATATACTCAGTGTTTGTGAAATAAACCACTGAAAAATACGACAATCAATAGCCGATTTGACAAATTGCAATGGTTCATCTGAGATAACTTCTGAAATCATGGATCAATCAATAATAGATGACCACTAGAAAATTGTGGGAACTGGACGGTTGTTTCGTCCTGGTGTAGGGCTCATCAAGAGTGAGCATCCAATAATCATGCTAATTACAGGATTCTACAACAGGGTCTGAGGGCGAGATCGCACCTGTCACTGTAGTGTGGTATGATGGATAACAGGGCCCGATTACAATGGTATGAATGTCTAACTCTGATCAATCTAAAGATTTTGCGCGTCTTCACTCATTTGTCTTCGATATTACTGACTATACACAAAAAGGCTGAACAGTCGTCCAATGCTTCCAGTTTTCTATTGGTGGTCTAATAATGACCGATACATAATGTAATTCATAAACAACCATCTATATATTTCTAATTGAAAATATACCATCTGTCCTGTAATACCACACTATTTCTATAATATACAGTGAGAAAAACAATTCACAGTATTTTGTAAAGATTTATTCAAGTATCAATCTTGTAAAACAATACATTCTCCTTTGATTATTTAGTGAATAAATTCACTCTGTTTCTATTCATGATGTTTATTTATTCCATGTAACATGTAGCCATTTGATTAGATGCCAACTTATGACAAATGATACGTATTTTACATTCGGCAAGTCGTAAATCAGATGTAAATGGATGACCAAGTACATAAGTGACAGTGTAAACAGCAATGTCGAATTCTGGAGAAGATCCAATGAAAATGGTCCCGATCGGTTTCTTATATTTATTTTCGTCGATATAGGTTACACTGATAAGGTGTTCATTACACGACTGCAATGAAAAAATGTTCCATAAATACACAAGAGCGAAAATCAAATGAAAATGTCAAACTAATTCAAACCGTTTGATGTTTTGACTAACAGTTGATTCAAACTCCGCCAGTCGAATCTTCGGAGATCCTACCAGTCCGAGGACCGGATAAATGAGTAGGGTTTGGCGACCCCATGCTTTCAAAAACTAACTTGCCGAAAAACGCTTACCGGAAAAAATTAATTCAAACTATTTCATCTCTGCCCTGGGAGTTGGAAGATGAATTATGAAGTCGCGTATTAAAAGCCGAGTTTCTTCGTATGTCACGGGGTCGATGCCCCTTCTCACAACCAGAGCAACCATTTTTTTAGGTACATGGAACGTCCGTACGTTGTAGCAGACTGGAAGACTATCTCAAGTCGCGGGAGAAATGAAAAGATACAACCTCGAGGTGGTCGGCATCAGTGAAACGCATTGGACACAGTTAGGACAACTGAGACTGGATTCATAGGAACTGCTGTTATACTCTGGTCATGAAGAGGAAAATGCTTCACATACACAAGGAGTTGCACTGATGCTGTCCAAACATGAACAAAAGGCACTGATAGGATGAGCATCAGTGCATCAGAGCATCCTTCTTTACAAAGAAAGAGTACATTAAATTGAACATCATCCAATGCTATGCACCTACCAACGACTACAATGATGATGGTACAGATCAATTCTACGAGAGAATGTTTAGGCACAAGCTGCATACACAGAAGCAAACAGGAAGAAGAGCATCAGAGCTGACAAACGAAAATATGTGGAAGATCTAGCAATGACGGCGGAAAAGGCTGCAGGAGAAGGAAACTTGAGACAGTTGTACGAAACTACGAAGAAGCCCGCCGGGAACTATCGTAAACCAGAACGACCAGTGAAAAGTAAGGAAGGCAAAGTAATCAGCAACACTAAAGAACAGC